ATATATATATTATGACGTAATATTTAATTTTTTGGCTATTATAGGATTGAAGAATAAAGAAAATTGGGTCCACTATTAATATTATTTAATTTAATGAAACCGTATCCACAAGAAACCAAAATTTGGTGGAATATGCTCAAAAATATTCTCTCTTCCTCGTTACTCATACTTCTGGATATTATTTTTGACGTCATAATTTTATTTTTTAATTTATTCGAAATTTTTATGTCAATTATTTTATTTTATATCGATTTTTTTTTTTTTTTTTGCAATAATAAATTTTTTACTGTAAAATTATAATATAAATTGTGACTGTAATGATTTATGATTTATTGCATGTGAAATAAATGGACGGGTGGCTAGAATTGTACGCGTGTGATTACCTGTCAGAACACCCTTTGACGTGGCAGCAATCTACTGGATCAGATTAAACTGGCGTATTTTATGATGGCAACAGGATAATATACCTTTTCTTTTTGGGTCAACTCAACCACGTGGAAAATAATTTTTTTTTCTTTTTAATAGGAAATAGAAGGTGAGAAAGTGTTGGTCAAACAAGTCAAAGGATAAAATCTTGCTCTACAAAAAAAAGTTGACAAAGACATGTTATGCCCAAATCTTCGTTTAGGATCTTAGCCCCCAATTTTGGTAATTTCATAATTTTAAATTAATTTTTTTTAATAAATATATATCTATATATAAATTACATATATATAGTTAGATTTAAATTCATAATTTATTAAAAAATTAATATTATGTTATTAAATATTTTATTATAGAGATTCAGAACTTAAAAAAATATAAATTATAAATTGAATACGGAAGCGAAATAATAGAGTTAGGATTTACATTTTTCACACAATAATTTAGAATACTCAATAGGGTTACGAGAATGACTATTATAAAAGAACAAGTAAAAAATCAAAAAAATAAATTAAAAGTAAACAATTAAGTATCATATGACGATTTTCACTAGCATTTGAAAGGAGTTCGGGTGATGAAGTATTTGTAACTCCCTTATTGATTGAGATATGGATTTTGGTCATCTTAATCTGAAATGGTTAATGAAAGAGTGAGCCACACTAGTGCAGTAAAAATATCACACTACTCACAAATACAAAAATGAAGATTGGTAAAAATCATAAAATAACTAATAGAGCTCTTAAATTAAGTAAATTCATTTATTATAAATAAAACTATTTATTACATACTTAACGTAGCGAGATTTTCAAAACCGTTATATAAATGTAATAACACAAACAACATCATAATTTCACATTCAAGTGACAAGAACAACAACTTTCTATTTTTATTTGCTTATTGATATCTCTAAGAGTCCACAGGGATGTTCCACTACGCGTGAACCCATATCAAAACTTGTCAACTAACTGGCTGTCCTCATATCCCGTCCGATATGAGCGCCAAAAGTACCATCATTCAATATCACGTCCGGTATGAGCGTTAAAAGTACCATCCCTCAATACCTCGTTCGGTATGAGAGTGAATCGGGCCGTTCCCATACCCCGTTCAGTATGAGCGCTAAAAGTACTATCCCTCAAGACCTTGTATTGTATGAGGGTGAATCGGACTGTCCCCATACTCTGTTCGGTATGAACGCCAAAAATACTATTATTCGATACCCCATTCGGTATGAGGTAGCGTTCACAGTAAGGTTCCTTATGTACCCGGTTCATCCACCATCTTTCAGACGGTCAGAGGTGGCTCCGGCGTGGTGGCGGACGACGAAAAGCTCCCTTCTCCGGTGATTGATTCTTCTTCTCTGGGGGTGGTTGGCGGCTAGAGTTTAAATTCAGTGTGATGCGAGATATTTATACTCGTCTCGCGTCAATGTGAGTCGTTCATCGCGTTTGATCTCGACCGTCCGATCGCGTTTAAAGAGAAAATAAATTTGAACCGTTCATCGCGATTTGATCTCAACTGTACAATCACGTTTAAAGAGGGAACGAATCTGAACCGTTCATCACATTTAATCGCGATCATACGATCGCGCTTGAGGAGGGAACAAATTTAGACCGTCCATACGCGCAGAAACATTTCCAGACTGTCCGATCGCAGGGCACGTAGATCACTAGCATAGCCTCCTGCGTGGCACCAAGTCAGCGTGTCTGGCCACGCGGTGTACTACTATTCGTCGGGACTGCTGACTAAACGATTTTACGTGTCACAACTTTTTTTAATTACGTTCTGACTCCCAATTTTTTATTTTTCTTTTAAAAACACAATCGGAACCAAAATTTTCACCCATTTTTCTCAAAATTATTTTTAATCTCATCTCTAAACTATTTTTTTTTTTTTATAATTTCACATTAAATTAAAATTTATTAATTTTAAAAATTGATTTTTATACATTTTTGAATGTAAAAATTAATGCCGGACCAAATTTCAGACCCGAATATTCCATAAACTCTAATTTGTTGTGTTACAGAAGCTCTAAATTGTACAACCATGAGAGCCAAGGATTCAGCTGGAAGCCCCTTCAATCTGGTTCCGGAGCAACTCATACTTCTTGAGCTCTGCCATGGAAAGCGAGGGCGATAGCTCTCCCACTACCTGCAATCACAGGGATATACATTCAGCCTATCAGAAGAAAATGGCTTTATTAACATGTACACATTCTTCATGAAACAGAGATCGAATAGGTCCTACCTTCACGAAGTCACCATATTCAACAACAACAGAGTCGGCATTGTGTTTGGAAGAAGATTCTGAATCTGAACTTAGAACCTACATGACAGAACCAGCATAAGAACCTCTCTCAAAGGTACAAACTATGAATAGATAAAAGCAGTTGGGAGGGGGATAATAATAAATGTTGTAAGTTTAAATTTATTGTAATATTTTCTTGTTGGTTCTGTCTATTCAGCCTAAACTTAGATATATGAGATTTATTGGGATCTACTTCCATGGCAGGCTACTATAAGAACAATTGATACAGTTTCCAGTGGCCTGTTTCTGGCCAAGGAACAACCATCCATCCTCCTGAAATCAGTCTATAATGACAACTGCTGGACCAGCAGCACATAAATTAACATACATTTATTTCTCTAGAAGAAAAAAGTGAATCTCTCCCAAGTTCAGTATTTTTGTGAAATTCATTTTGAAATCTATCTTTAAACTCAATTACTATACCAAATCCTATTAGAAATGACAAAAATTGAATTCATTATGTAAATTTTTATTATTCCCGATGAAATTTTTAACCACTCCTAAGTAAAGTAAGTGTAGATTTCCAAATAAATTCTACAAACATAGCTTAAAAGTAAAAAAGATGCAGTGATTTGACTCTACCGTGCGCTTTGCAGCATGAAACCAAGCATCAGCACATAAGGCATACATGTCTGCACCTGTAAAGTTTGGAGGGCATTTCTTTGCTATTGAATGAAGGGACACGTCTTCGTCTAATTTAAACTTTCTGGTAAGTGCTTGAAGGACCCTAGACAGGAAAGAGAATTGGATGCACAAGCAGGACATGTAAGTAGTATGTAATATTAGAACACAAAGAAATCCAAAAAACAAAAGGACTAACCTCTCCCTGTAAGATATCTCAGTGTTAACTCCAACATATAGGAGTTTGTCGAATCGGCCAGGTCGTAACAGTGCAGGGTCAATTAGATCAGGTCGGTTGCTTGCCCCTATGATAAATAAGTCCTAAACAACGAAAAATAATGAAATCAATCCTCTTAATAAGAGGGAAGAAACATTGCAATACAATAGTAAAAGAGGAGTAGCATGAGAAGTAGTATACCTGGGTGGAATCATTGAGGCCGTCAATCTCAGCAAGCATCTAGCATAGGTGGAAATTGCCCCGTTAAGAAAAGTATTGATTCAATAAAAGGAGTATGATCCACCAAAATTATAGTAGAAGTGTCCTCCTAACCTGAGAGACAACTCGATCCATAACTCCCCCAGAATCCCCAGAGGCCCCCCGTGCTGGAGCAAGAGAGTCAAGTTCATCAAAGAAGATGACGCAAGGACGAGCAGATCTTGCCTGAAAAATTGCATGCAATATAGCGAAAAATTGTGTTCAAAGAGATATTGTACTCCTGAAGGATGCTTATCAGAAAGAAAAAATGGGCTATACCTTTTGAAAAATGTCTCGAACATTTTTTTCTGATTCACCTATATACATGTTAATTAATTCTGGACCTTTCACACTAAGGAAGTTCAAAGAACATTCTGTTGCCACAGCTTTGGCCAATAAAGTCTGAGATTCAAAACAAAAATAGAATATAGATGAAATGACTGAATTTTTTCAAGGAAAAACAGAGGTAAAAACTAAAGAAACTAAAATAACAATAATATAACAAAACATACTTTCCCAGTTCCAGGAGGGCCATATAGAAGAACACCAGAACGCTTGCGTAATCCAGAAGAAAATAAATCTTTATGCAGGAGAGGTAACTGCAGACATGAAAACCATGAACCAAAGAAACATTCTGGGGCAAGTGAGCTATTTAATATAGTCAGTTGCATTGCTTTAGACGCATAGAGATGGAAGGTTAGGTAATATACAATCATCTTTTCAGTGCTGCATGCATGTCCATTTTCATCTATTTCTTATTACATGAAACAGACCCCAGAATATATTATCTTCCCATACCATGCTACCTAAACATAATATAATGCATATCCTGACAAGTCAGAGACTTTAACATTCATTAGAAGAATTGTGCACTTATCCATTATCTAGTGATCTCCTTATTTTCTAAAAAAACACAGCCAGCACATTTGAATATACTTTTATTGATTGCATAAATTTTAAATTATAGTATATCTCTAATACCCAAATGAGGTAGAAATATTCAGATACTGATACTCTTCCAAATCAGGTGGAAAATTGATGTCAGGTCTGAGATGAATATGTAGATTTTAGAAGTTTGTAAAGTAGAAAGATTAAGTTAGTAAAACCAAAAGCTCCCATCCATTCCTGTCACAGACCAGGGCCTGCTGAAAATTCCTTTTAGAAGATCCTTTAAAAAAGATACCAGAAAGGGTTTCGTTATTAGAAGTAGAATGCTTCAAGGACTTCATCAAACAAAAATAATTCATAAGAGTGTCCTGAGAGAAGAAGCGCACCTGAACTGTGTCTAAAATTGATTTCTTCACATCCTCAAGACCACCCACATCTTCCCATTTCACATTAGGAACCTATGGCAAATAAATAGAGAGTAAAAACTGCCCCACATTTATGCATAAATTAGCTAATAGATATTCTCTTTGAGAGCATTGAAACACTTAATCTGCAAATAATTTAATGTCCAAAAATCATTTAATGTCTTTCTGCTCACTTAGTTTACCTTCGGAGCACCAAGTGCCGATGCATTCCTCTTCTTTGATCGTTCCAAAGCTTTGGCCATGTCTCCTTTTCCCACAACAAGACCAGCAGCATCGCATGACTGGTTGTCCTGCTTCACTTTGACTTCAGAAGAACCATGTAAGTCCTCCGTATCAACCTTGTTGACTCCAAAATTATTCATGGCGACTATATTGGCTCCAGCATCAGCTACAAGCGCACATAAATCCCGGGGCATAAAACCAGATGTCTGTCCGACTACATCCTTTATGAATTCATCAGAGGTGACCTGCAGGATGCAATTGGGTGTCAAGGCCAGCCACTATCGTTGAAGGCAAAAAACTACAATCAAAATGATAATTTTGCATGGAGTTATCTTGCTTACATAAAATTAGATATGATTACCTTTCCTTTTCCAATTTGATAATGTTAACAGTATAAGAATATTAATTTTGGGATAAGTGGCAAAGGCATATCAAAGTACTTTCATCATGGATCCACCATTACTGCCCAGTTATGGCATGAAATGAGGCAGTTAAGACCTTAAGTTTGACGACGTTAGATCATACATTAATCCATTATATACATACGATTACCCCAAAAAATAAATTTTAACGGAAGTACATTCCAATCACATACATTAGGGAGGAGTTGTGGAACACCTTGCAGCAACTGGGACAACATTTCAGCCCTTTGTTCTTCAGTCAGAGAACTCATACTTATTTCATGGCTGAAGCAACGCCTGATGGTTGGTGGGAGGCCCTCCGTACTGTCAGCAGCTGCAACTAACAGCACCTGGTCCCTACCAGAATATCCAGCATCCTTTAAATACTGCATCAGCACGGTACTAAAGTAAGCATCATGAAAAGTTCGAAACAATTTTTTTTCTTCTTTTGCTTGAAAATAAATAGCAATGCATGTTACTGAAACTAATTTTTTTCTCCCTGCTAAAAATGATCCGGTTATAGTGTGATCAAACTAAATGGTACAGAACTTGGACTAAAAAAATCAAATCAAACAATCAACAAAACAATTTTTGAAGAATGAATGCCCTTAATGGTTTGGGAAGGAATAAAGGGGTTGAGAAGCCATAGAAAAACCCAACATTGCACCAATTTATTCATGGCTGCAAATGAGAAAACAAACATACTGACATAAATTAAACCGCTCATTAAATTCTCATGGAAGAAAACTAACTAAAAGAATTCCCGAACTTTTCATGACAAAGAGAAGGAAGAATTGTATTCGTCTTACAAAATCACCATTTGAATTTTCTTCAGTATAACTTTCATCATCATCAGCCACTGGCTCAGTGAATTCTCTAATTGTTGATGCAACTTCAGAGAAAAGGCCAACTTGGTCACTTGGTGGACCCTCTTGAGAGGCCAAATTTTTAAAAACTTCAAAATGGCGAAGAAGAAGTATTGTTGGTGAGTACCTGACACAAAACAATACATGAGGAACATTAAGCAGAGAAAAAAATTAGGAGACAGCCAAAATTAAACAAAGTTATATTACAAACTTAGAACAACATACTCATAACTTTTCAAGCTTCCACATCTACCTAATTATATATAGGTTTAGGGTTGATTCCACAAGTACGAAGGGTATATAATGTTTTCAGCATATAACAGATGAAATACAGCTTGACGCAATTCATTAGGTGTAGGTCATCAAAAATAACCAGTAAATGATTTTGGGAGCAAGATAGTAAAAGATACCTCATGCTAAGTCACAAATATTAGGATGAAAAACAAATTAAAAAGCATATAAACATAACAACGAGTAAACTGATTCACCTTTGTGCCGTATTGAAAGCTTGAGCTAGTGTAGCGGATGTTTTTCTTTCAGAAGATGTCAATAAGCTATGGCAGCTATATTCCACTACATGTAGGCCCAACCGACTGGCAACATATCTAACAACAGTCCTCTTCCCACATCCTGCAATAAATAGTCTTGCAAGCATATGATTTGTTCTTTTTTTGAAATAATCGTGCAAGCACATGATAACACGTAAACATGCATGCATGAGCGGAAATGATTACCAGCAATTGCTTTGGAGTCAATATACTATCTCTAATCAATAAACTCCAGTAAGGTCAGACTTAATCATCAATTATAGATTTCACATTCTCAAAAGTTGTACTTCAGACGCCCCCAATTATCAGGCATTCAGACGTACCTGGCAAACCATGCAACAAAACAGCAACTCTGAATTTTGAAGAAAGTGCTGATGGGCATAGAGGTGGTGTAAGTATAGAGGCTAAAAGTTTCACTGTCTCTGACTGCAAAGGTGCCAAAGCTCTCGATCCAGCAATCAATAAATCTGGGGGAACAGGTGATGAAACACTTCCTCCTAGCACAAGAGCAGTTTGAGAATGATTGACTCGAAGAACTGCCTCATCTGACGGTTCCATTGCGACAACCTGAGGACATGAACTACCTTCTGATGAGAGCCAGACACAAGATCCTATTCCTTCTGCACAGGGTGCCATCAATAATACATGCACAGAAATTTACCTTGAAGTATATGGTGACATAACTTCTAGTTTGCAACCTTTGGCTGCAAGGTATGCATACACTTGAATTGCAATTCCAGTTAATACTGATGCTGAAAATATCACCTCTCGACATATGTCTATCCACTTCAAAGTACTTGTGTAATGCCAAATCAATCATCTTTTGGCGATCTTCAGCTTCAATGGATGAATTTCTTTTCAAAGATTCAAGGGTACCACACTCTGGTATTTTGATAAAAGAAGCCCTCAAGTGTGAAGCATACCTTGGCAATTGAACCATAGGCTCCAACTCTAAAATGATGAGCGAAGCACCACTGCCTCTCCCACATAACTTGTCATCCTCTTTAGCTTCAAATAAAGATTTCAATGTTTCTTTCCCTTGGTGAACAAGAGATTTCAAGCATGAAATATGCAGGCTCAGGTTAAAAATTAAGAGAGGGGACAGGTAGGCGAGCTCATGATCAACTAGTAGAAGACCCTTTTGGGGAAAATTATAAGAAGGAAACAAAAGCATGGTGCTAGGAGAGTCAGAGGAAGGTACTTTACTGTCATATATGTAGTTGTGGGTATTGGGAGGATCAAGAACAACAACTTGAGCAACTCTTTGCATATTGGTCTCAATGTTCTTGACGAGAACCTTGCATTTTGAAAATCAGAACTTCAGATTAGATAAATTACATGATTTTGCCACCTAAATGTAAAATTTCATAGTTCAAGTTGTAGTTTTCTAAAATGTCCTTCAATTGAACACTCTTGCATTGAGATAATCAATGTTCCTATGGTACATTCTCCAAGTGTTCTGTCCCTAAACCATACAACTTCAAATTTTCTGTTAGGATGCCGAATAATAAACAAATATATATATATATATATATATATATATAACTGAGTTCTGCTAATTAGGCCTTTCTGGTTTTATTAGAGCTTAACCACTCAAGTTTCCTCCTTTAATTCTCTCATTTCCTGATGAAAAAAATATTAATAATAATTTATTTTCCATTCCTGAACTTCCCTAGCAACCAAGCAAGAGGAAGAAACATGTACCAGTGAGCCAGAAGTTATTGACAACCTCTTCAGCACAGAAGTCGAGACCCCAACCAAAGCAGAATCATCAAGGGAAGCTAACTTGGGGTCTGAAATGCCCTTTTCGTCCTCTGAGAGCCGGAGAATTCCCGCCGGCAACCGCAATTTCCGGGCCACGTCATCTCCGAAAAGCTTACATCCTCTGTCACTTTCACCGAGCCGCGACGAGCTCAGAACAGAATCGAGGAGAATTTTGGTGGAAGAGAGCACCAGAGGCTTCCTTCTCTCCACCATTGACACTGAAACTCCAGTTCCCCACAAAACAAAAAGAATGAAAAAAGAAAAACCCTAATATGCTATAGAGAGAGCCTCACGTAAGTATATATAGACAAATCCATGTCTACGTCATCATTTGTGCAGTATGCAGAGAGCGAGAGCAAGAAAGAAGGATGCGAGTGTCTGCAAAAGATTACGCGAATCGATGAAGGAAGCTGGTTCTGGTCAGCTCCGATACGATTGACGTCATAATTAACCGTTTCAAACGTAATCATAAAAATAGTTTTGTTTCGTTAGATTTAATTATGGGCTTTATTTCTAGGCCCAACAAAGCCCAAATAATTCTCTTTTAAATATATATATATTTTTAATTTAATAAATATATGAAATTTTATCTTTGAAATAAAGTATGAAAATTATTTTATAAAATTCAATTAAATATTTATATTTTAAAATAATCGAGCAGGTTTAGCCTATAACTGTAACGAAGTTAATGCTATTTCATAGTAATTCTATAATTTATACATATTATATTTGGAATAAATTTAATGCTATAAATTCATATTTATTAGTAAAACAGATTAAGTTTATAAAAACATTTTAATATTTGTAAAAAACTATAATTGAATAACAAAAAAATACTTAGAAACATATGTTATATAAGCTAATCTTATTTAATATATTTTTAATGCATATACATTAAGTTAAATTTCGATATTGAACTACGAAACTTGAATCCAAAAGTCTTATATTCACTTTAATGATGGATAATGCGATCATATACGTTAAGTTAAATTTGAACATTAAACTATAAAATTTGAGCTCGAAAACTTTTGATTCTCTTTAACAGATGGATAGCGCGCTGATTCTTCATAAACTCAAGATAGTTCGATAAGTCGTTTTAACCTACCAGTTTATTTTCTACCAAAACACCAAAAATTTCCTAAAAGATCTATCTTTCCTTGGGTACAAATCCAGCAACTGAGCTACTTCTGTCTTAAATATGGCCACAAATCTCTCCAGGAACAGCTTCTCTACAGGTACCAGCAGAGAATTTGGCCACAAAATCCTGAATGCAACTTTTAAGTTCATCCCTAAGGAAAATAACAATGGTACATTTAACTTTTCTACCAAAACAAATAACAATTTACAAGGATCTACCTTCCTGTATGCCAAAAAGGTACCTCCCCAAATTTGGCATAACCCTTTAAGATTTCCAGTCAAATATTTTAACTTTTTGAAGAAAATTTGAGAAAAAAGTAACTGGTGATGTATAAAAAGGATATGTTCTATATACTATATTGTCTTTTCTAGCAAAACACATCAGATCTCTGAAGCAGCTATCTTTCCTTGATAGACATCCAACAAGCCAGGTACTTCCTTCTTATACCTAGCTACAAATCTCTCCAAGAACAACTTCTCTACAGGCAATAATAACACAGTAGCCAAGCTTAAATCTTCCTTAACTAAGCCCTTAGACAACAAGACCTGAACAACAGAGCACCTGGGTACTATTCTCTTCTCCAAGCTGAAAAACAACACAACAGGAAGCCGGACAATCATTTTTGACGGCCAACCCATCTTCTTCACCAAGAATTCCATGTTCTTGTTGATCTTCTCCTCTGACAACATTATACAGTGGGGATGCCTTCTGAAAGCTTCAAGAATATCATCCTTAGGCCAACCCCACTTCCTGTAAACCTCAAAGCATCTTTCCCATATGGACTTGTTACCTTTACCTGAAATGGCGTGTACTGCTAGCACAAAAACGGTTTTTTTAGGGTGAAATCCCATTTCTGCAACCTCCATTACAGTCCTACAGAACTCTTCATGTTTCTGCATCATGGTCTCTGGGAAATGAGCAAGCAATAGAGTAACACTCTTTTGGGGAACACCCATTTCTGTCAAGAAACTGATATTGGGGACAAGGGTTGTCTTATAATCCTTGAGGAAAATCCATGTGGTGCGCTTTAAAGCAGAAACAATCTTGTCGTCGGACAAAACCACAGTCTTGAGAAAATTGTAAGATGGGATAATCTGGTTGTCTAAGCTTCTCGACAAAAGAGTTGGGTCTAAAGCTAGGGTTTTTGCAAGGTCCGACTGTGAGAACCCTATGGAGTAGAAAAACTCAAGCTTTGGCAAAAGGGTAGCCTTAGGATTAGCTAAAAGGAGGTCAGGACGTCTTCTGACGAGATTTGCAATCTGGGTTTTGGAGAATCCGTGGTTTCTGAGAAGGTTCAAAACCAAGTCGGGTCTACTTGGCTACTCGAGATGGAGCTTCTGCGAGACGGAAATGGCAGATTCCGGAGCCAATCCGCAAGTGTTTATGAGGTAAGTGGTGGTGAAAGAGAGCTCACTGCTGGAGATTTTGGACGTGATGGCTCTAGAAATGGATTGGTCGCGAAAGGAAACGAGTGAATGCCGAGAGAATCCATTGGGGTTTTTGAAGATTTTGAAAGTGAAGAAACAAGACATTAGCGGGTACTCGAACCTTAAAGTCAATAAGTTTTGCCTTGCCGCCACGGGAGCTAGCTTGGATTATTTGATGGATGATAACAAATACTTCTGCTGCTCGGTTCAAGTGTCACCTATAAATAGAAAATCCGCAAGTGTTTAATTTGGATTATTTTAGTTTTTATTTAAGATTACATAAATAGAAATTTTAATTTATTAAAGAGAACTTCATATTTTAAATTACTAAATTCTATAAAATACTCATAACCCACCAAATTTTCTTTCCTACAAAAAGTTAATTCTTCCAAATTTATTAATGTTAAAATATATATATATATATAATACCCCATGAAGAATTAGTCTTCCCCCTATTTAGAATCAATGTCCTTTGGATTCCAAAGAATGACAAAGAGTTCCCTCAGCTTTAAATATAAAATAACAAATAATTGAGAATTTTACCTCCACCTTAAGAAAAATTTCTTATTGCAGTCCCAAGTCTTTTGCCAGTAACGAAGTATATAAATACAAAGATAAGCTAAACCTTCTGTAGTTCTCTGTTGCATGCTAAGCCACCATATAATGTCTTTTGATTTGCATATTGACATGCCATTCTTTTCCCTATTATTTCGAAAGCAGAGCTTCAAGAGATTTGGCATCGTATGCCGGAGGACTGCAAGTGAAATTTTGACAGACAAGAGCAACAATCTTGTCTCCTGCATAATTAGTCTTTGCCATGTGGGCGATATTACTATTATGTTCTTCCCAAAATTCAATTTCAGCTGTGTTCGAAGGATCAATATGAATCACCTGCGCATAAAACCCGGATAGAAGATAAAATAACATAGTTATTTCTCAGCACCAAAGAAGGGAACAGCCATAATGTAAATAAAGAGTAGGATTCTTGCACTCACAGTTTTGTTGGGATCATATGATGCATGAGCAGCTGCAAGAATGTTTTCGAACTCCACAGTGGACTTATGACCAACCACGACAACTTGTTTCCTGGAGGGAACAGTAAGCATATGAGCTGCACAACACATCAGAGGCACTGCCATAGCCATGTCTTTCAATCTTGCCTCAAAAACTGCCTGTAAATGGATAGCCAAGCAGAGTCAAAAGACCCGTAAATATAAACTTCAAGTAAGCCTAACATGTATCGATTTGAAAAAATAAACTACAGACCAGAAGATGCCCTGCATTATGCCTGTAATATTCAGATTTCTTGCCGGAAACAATAGAAGCCAATCTGATAAGGTTGATGGCAGAAACTGAGTTCCCCGAGGGCTCTGCCCCATCATGATCTTCTTTTACACGGAGGAGGACTGAAGGGTCTTCCCCCGGAGTATTAAAATAGGCACCTCCTTCTTGATCAAGAAATAACTCATCCTGGAAGGAAAATTTCAACGGACTGGCAATCTCATAAAAATACATGAGGTGTATAAAGAACTGCAAAAACTTGCCTGGCTCTCTTGTAATTCATTTGCCCAGACAAGCCAATTGATCCCACCACCATATTCATAGAGATCCAGCAAAGCTGAAATTAAGAAAGCATAATCATCCAAGAATCCAGGTGCTTTAGATGGGCCATTCCTGAAGCTATGTTGTAGCTTGTGCGACTCTTCGTCATAAAGATGCCTTCTGATAAACAAGGCTGCCTTCTCTGCAACTTCCATATACTCCTTGGGCTGGAATGTTGGAACAAAATATCAAAAGCTCAAAGACGTAAGAAATGCTCAAGTAAATACAAATCAACAATGATTTGGGTCATGGAAGAATAACTAACACCACGAATTAACTACATTAGCAAGTGCCTCAAAACCTAACAGTTTACAGGAGAAAAGGTAAACCACCTGCATTGGGACAAATATATAAATACAGGCATCTCTCAAGACCAGGGTTTGATAAAAACAAGCTTGTATCTGCTATTTACAAAGAG